TTTCCAATTTGGGATTTTTTTTTTTTCCAGATTTGGAATATTTGCATATCATGAGATATCTTGGATGGACCCAACTCCAAACACGAAATTCGTTTGCTTCCCACTCAGCCCGTGCACATGGCCTGAAGGTTCTTTCACACAACATTGTTCCTGTGACCCACCACAGTCTAATTTTTCACTTGTGGCATCTGTCAGTGCTCAAATACTACCAGCTTTTGGAGTACTTCAGATTTCAGATTTTTCAGATTAAATATATTCAATCTGTATTTATGGAGCATTTTCTATCTTCCAGATACTGTTCTATGCACTTTACCTGAATTAGCAAACTTCATTTTCATAGCAACTCTCTATGGTAGGTACTATGGTTATTCCTCTTACAGATAAGGAAGCTCACGCCTAAGTTCCCTGCCCAGGGGCTCTGGATGCGAATCTCACTCTTGACCATTCACAGGACTGCCTTCTTATCTGCTTCCTCAGGGAAACAGTGACTGCCTGGAGCAGAGAGTCCATCTTCCTCCTCTCTGATTCCCCTGCAGCCTCCAACACACAGCCTCTCACAGAGAAGCCCTTCATCACCACCCATTGAATTAGATCACTAACAAACGCCCAGGACACTTGTCTACCTTCCTGCAGACGCACGTTACCACCAGTTTCCTACTTCCCTTTCTTGAGCCAGGGATATACCTGACAGTCAGCCCTAACATGGGTGCCCCAACTCCACCGGGTCTCCCACACACACACCTCTGCACCCCTTCTTCCACACATATAGATGACACGAGGAAGCACAGACGTGCAAACTCCCTGCAAAATACCAGCCGACTCTACCCGCCTTTGGCAGATAACCTACAGCAGGGACACAGACTCCCAGCCACTCACACTTAAGAGTCTTCAGTTACATATAGTCAGACCTCCCGCCCCCTGAGAAAAAAAGCAAATTCCTGGCCAGGAGATTTTCAATCAGTGGGTAAGCTTAGACCCGGGGAAGGCACGCAAAGCTTCCACAAGAATCCACAAATCCATATGTCCACCGAACATCTGAAGGCAGTTTGGTACATCTTGCATATAAAGCTAAAACTATTTTTCTAATGTATATTTTATTAACTGCAATGGCAAATAAAACATCAAAGTCATCTAAAAGCTTTTCTGAATTCATAGGAGCTTTGAGTCATTTGTTTTCCCAATAAACAGAAATAAAAATGATAACTGCTATTTGGAAGGAATAGTGTGAATTACTGACTTTTAGAAATGTCCTCAATTTCAGAAAAAGTTGGAAACCACTCAAAGCAGATAAAAACGAAGTGACAGCAACTTCCAGGGAAGCTTGAGACTTAGAACTGCTCAGAGATCAGGAACCGTACCTGATCCCCTCAAAGTTTTCCTCTCCCACCCCAATCACCATGGTGGGATCCCATACCATCTTTCTTGGCTGAATAAGAATGTACTAGAAGAAGTGTAATGAGCACAGGATGTTATGAAATCTGCCTAGGAAACAAGGAACAAATACAAGGAGAAAAAAAATGAGGTTTAGGGTTGGGGGAAGAAGGAGGGGAGTTTGTAGGGTTGTGCTGTGCCTGTCACCTCCAGACACAACCGTGTCTACAACCCTCATAGCCACCCACACATACACGTGAAAACAAACACACATATATGATACACATGTATCTGCATGTACATATGGCCTTACCTCAAGCCTTTGTTCTCTCAAATACTTATTAATAGCTCTTCATTCATTCCACAAATCTTTATCAAACTCCCACTAAGTGCCTGGTGCTATATTAGGTGCAGTGAATACAGAATGAATAAAGACATATCCTGCCCTTTATCCCTACACACCCCTCTCTCAACAGACCACACACAGACATACCCATACCACATACACACAGCAACTCTGCCCCTGCTAGCTGTCAGACACCCACCCAATACCTCCCTTTCCTATTTCTTACATCATACACACACACACACACACACACACACAGTGGGTCAGGCACACAGCCAGCTCTCTCAGCTGCAACACAGCTAACACAAACATTAGTCTGATGCACACCCATTTGATACTCAAGAACCATTCCTTTCACTCAAACACATCTTCTACACACATACACACCTGCATTCAGTGGCACACACCTTTTTTGTTGCACTGGAAGCCTCTGAAGCCAATGAAAGGCTTTCAAAGAATGGATTGACCATTCTGGGTTCAGTTTTCATATACCCAAGCCCAGTTCAGACACAGTGAAATCATGGACCTGTTACTGTAACTTCCCCACAGCTCAAATGGTTCATCTTAGCCAGGCACAGAGGTGCACACCTACTATCCCAGCAAATCAGGAGGCTGAGGCCAGAGGATCACAAGTCCTAGAGTAGCCTCAGCAACTTAGCAAGGCCCTGTCTCAAAATAAAGAATGAAAAGGGCTGGTCATGTAGTTAAGTGGTAGAGCACCCCAGGTTCAATCCCCAGTACCACCAAAAAAAAAAAAAAAAAAAAAAAAAGAGAGAAGATTCCTCCTATTGCTTAGGAGGCCTTGGTGGAGAGGGATCATAGGAATTAAAAAATGAATTTAAGGACCTGGACAGAATTCTCATAGATTTCTATGACAGAATTTCATAGACACAGACATAGATTTCATAGACAGAATTCTCATAGATGCTGAGGTCTTGCATTTCAACCCAGGTACATGGGTACCTGCACATGAGCACACATCCTTACAGCTGTGTACCACTCACCCCACTAGGCCTTCGCTTCCTATCAATAAGCACTACACTTCAAACAGATCCATTCACACATATAATATACATTGCCAGACTCTTAGGCCTCTGCACACAAGACACACAATTTCACAGTTTAGGGAGCACCTGAGCTCCTTGGAGAAAAGGTGAGAAGGTGTCAGATTAACTTATACACACAGTTCCTGAAGATTTATCTCACAACCTTGTACAAATAGCCCCACAAAAACAATCCAACCCTTCCTTACCTATTTGTCTACCACAACTTATAAATACACAAACTACTGTCCAAAGTCAAGACTTCTCATACCCAGGGCCTCGCCTGCATGTGCTGCTCTTCCATAGGCTGTCCACATGCACATAGCCACAGGGACACCCATTTTCTGAGCCACACACTCCCCAAAAGACTCTACCTTTTGGAAGGCAGAAACACACACACACACACACACACACACACACAACGTTAGAGTGGCCCACACCTTCAAGAGGCACTGGGGGAGAAGAAAGCATGTCTGGCTCACACACCTGCTGGGAAAGGCACCCCCAAACAGATGGGGAAATCTCTCCCCCACCACCCAGCCAGACCAAAGTAAAAGAGGCTCCTGAAAGTTCCCTTCTTCCCTCATCCCCACTAAAATCACAGCTCAGACCCAGGCCAGGCTCAACCCAAGACCCTTGTCCTCCACTGCCTGCCAGGCATCCCTCCTCTTGCAGCTGGGGTGCTGGCAGAACCCCCTCCCGAACGCCTGCCTTCCAAGTCCCCATTCCACATTCTATCTCCTGCTCAAAGTCAGCAACCCCTCAACAGTCGTAATCTCCCACTGGAACCCCATGCTCCAAGGGCTCCAATGTCTGACACAGAAGCCTCGCCTCCTGCTCTCTCACCTGGGACACACAACCTGCCACCTTGGCCCCTCACGCAAACCGTCAACTCCTAGTCAAGAGCCTCACCGTTATCTCACCTCACGCTTTTCCCTTCACTGTCCAAGGGGCTCAGGTGATTCTGGGATGGAAAAGAAATTCGGTTCCCGCCTTCCTGGCGGGTGCGGGCACAGCATGGCAATCCCCGGGATCCCTCACCCGCCTTGTTGTCTGGTCTGCGGACTCGGGACCTTCACAGACTGTGGCTGTCCCTAACCCCAAGCTTCCTGCAAATCCCGCCCACACGGGCCCACTCACGCAGGCCCCGCCCACTGGCTCTCAGGGACGGCCCATGCAGGCCCTGCCCACTCTCCCTCAGGACCCACCCAACTGGTCCTGCACCAAGGCCTCACCGTCCCACACAAGGTCCCACTAGGTCCCCAATGGCCCCACCCAACAGGCCAGCCCACACACCTCCCAGCCTCAAAGCCCCTCCACACTCCCCAGCCTGCACACATAGGCCCCACTCACAACCCTCCCACACCCACGAAGGACTTGCCCACCATGCAGGCCAAACTCTTTGTCCCAGGTCCCTGCACACAAGGCCCCACCTCTCATAGGCTTCGCCCAGCACACCACCCGCCACCAGCCCTTACAGCCCCTCACAGCCGCTCACAGAACCTGCCCACACGACCTCCACCGGCTCCTACGGCACTGGAGGACTCACACGGGTCACGCCCACACTGGCCACGCCCATAGGCTCGGGTCTCTCCCCGCCCACTGATTAACCGCACACGCCCTCGCGCGGACAGGCAGGCTCTCACGACCCTCGGGTGCTAGTACACTCTCACACGCCCTCCGCACGAGCCCAGGCAACAAGCCCAGATCCTCGGACCCCGCCCTCCCAACCACCTCATCCCGGCACCTCCAGCCTTCCACTCCCTCGCCCACGCGCCCTGCGGCGACTCCCCCGGGCTCACCTTCGCTGCAGAACTTGCCACCGAAGCCCGTATGGCTGCAGTCGCAGCCCACCTCGCCGGGGGCCAGTACAGTGCAGAGGCCGCCGTTGGCGCAGGGGTTGCGCGCGGGCGCGCACAGCGGATCGGCAGCCGCGCCGCGCAGGCCTTGGCTGCCCAGCAGCGCCGGGGGCCGCTCACCCAGCTTCAGGTTGGCCAGGAGGCCGCGGAAGGGTGGCTCGTACTTGACGGTGCTGAGCGTGAGTGCCGAGAGGCGCACGTCGGGAGGGATTCCACCCACGAACAGGTCGCTGGCCACCTGCATCTCGCGCCGCTTGGAGCGCACCTCTGCCGCGCGGGCCTCGCCATCCACCGCTAGCGCCGTGCGGCGCGCGTCGCGGGTCAACAACACCATGTGCCAGCGGTCGTCCGCCACCGGCGTGTCCAGCTGCAGCGTGGCGGGCTCGGCGCACGAAAGCGTGAAGCGCAGCCGCAGGCGCCCGTCCACCAGCAGCAGCTCCAAAAAGTCGCAGTCGCCGCCGTCGTCCAGGTAGAGCAACAGCGCGCGCGTGGCGTTGGTGCGCAGGCTGAAACTGAGCTCGCCGCTGCTCGCTGCGCCTGCCCAGCGCGCGTAGCGAGCCCACTGCCCGGGGCCGCCGCCGAACTCCAGGCTGCCGGCGCCCGCCGCCAGCGCCAGCAGCAGCAGCAGCAGCGGTGGCGGCGGTGGCGGTCGCCACCGGCTCCCGGGCGCCATGCCTCCGGCGGCCCCGGCGCCGCCCGGCCCCCGGCCCCGCTCAGGCTTCAGAGCCGCGGGCGCATGGGGCGGGGAGGGGGCCGGGAGCCCCCGGCACCGAGCGGGGCTCCCTCGCCGGCTCACAGTGCCATGGGCCTGGCGGTGGGGCGATGTGCGTAGAGGCCCAGGTGCCGACTTCCCCCCGGCGGCGGCGACAGCGGCGGCGGGGGCCCCTCCCCTGCTGCGGACTTGAACGGAAGTTGGGGGAGGGACGCCTGCAGGGAAACAGAGAAGAAAGCTTTAAAGGGGGGTTTCGGGGGGATCAGGGCCCGGCCCGTCGGTGTCTGGCTCCCGCCTCAAACCAACAGATGCCCACCTGTTTTTCTTTAGGACTTGAGCTGGCCCTGACCTGGAGAGTGTCTTGAAGCAAGAAACATAATCGCGGATGGAAGCACTGGGAACCCAACACTTGGGGAGATACAGCACCCGGAAGGGACATTATTGGCTTGAGATGTGGACGGGTGGGAAAGTGACACCTTGGAATTCAGTAGGAGTCCAATCCTGCTGGCCTCACACTGACCCCTCAAAAGACCCAGGCGTCAGGACCAAGGCCAGCTCCTGGGAGTGAGACCTAGGATCTCTCCAACAGGTGACCCCACCCCCTTCTTTTTTAAATCACCCAACCTCTGTGCGGTGGCTCCCACCTCTAGCCAGGGATCACTCGCTCTCTCTCATCAGCTCTTGATGCTGGATAATGAAGTTGCTAAATAATTCATTGAGATTAATTAAATGCCAATTCGTCAATGGTGTCACAGGGTAACCAGCCTGGGAAGGGGGCAAAGGATAGAAGCCAGGCGTCGCTCAGATACCCACACCCCAAAGCCTTTTCATCCCTGCAAGGACACAGGCATCCAATTCTGAGTCTCCAGTTCCCCCCAAATCACACTCACCCCTCCCGGGGCCCCAACCTCACTGCTCACCAGCTCAGGTCCTTCTGAGGCTAAGTATGTGTCACCCTCAACCTCCAGCTTCCAATCCTCAGCCCCAGGACTGGCCCCACTATTTGGGATCTCTTCACCCCTCAGTTCTTCCCGGTCCCCCACCCAGGGCTGGGGGAGCTACCAGGAGGCAGGCAGGCTCATTTGCATAAAATTGCCTTTCTGAAATGATTACCCTTGTAACTGGCTGTCAGAGAGCAATTTATACCCCACAACGGGGAGGGGAATTTGCATCTCGTTAAACTCTGAGTCGTAATTATTTATATCCAACAACCCTCCTGAATATTGCATTGATTTTATTTTGGGGAGGGAGGGAGGGAAGGAGGTGGGGAGAAGCCTAGAAGAGAAACAGGGAGGGGCCAGAGTTTAGGAGGAGACAGGGAAAGGTGGGGTGGAGGGAGAAAGAGGAAGGAGAAGAGCTCAGGAAAAGTGGCAGAGATGGAAGAATAATGGAAGAGAAGGGAGGCCTGACGAGGAGAAAAGAAAGAGAAGATTGAGAAAATTAAACTCCAAATTCAAACAGCATTCATCAAGGACCCAGATCCTGGGCATTTTTATAAATGTCATCTTACTTAATCACTCTGAGAAGTCCCATTATTCCCATTAACCCTTGGGGAAGCCCTTGTAGAGAAGTCTGGGTAATTGCCCAAGGTCATGCAGCTGGTCAGCAGGGAACCTGGCCTCAGATCCAAGACTGTCAACTCCAGCATGCCCATGAAGGAGACAAAGGGCAGGACAGCCACAGGTGCAACCCAGGTGGGAACAAAAAGAAGGCTGGATTGGAGAGGGGGTGGGTGCAGGGGCAGGGCCAGGAGCCACAGCTGGGAGAGGAAGCTCAGGCCCCCCTAAAAGACCATAGTGAAGGAGGAGCTGAGTCCCAGGAGGGTAGGGCTGGCAAGAGTGACCTGCAAGCAGAAGGAAGATGGGCAGAGAAGGCTCGAAAGCCATCAGTGGTGTCTGGAGAGACATCTCTAAGAGACCTACAAGACCCTTCCATCGGCCTCCTGACGGCTGTCCTCCCAACCTTACAGGCTCCCATGGGGGACCCACATGTCCTGCCCCAGCTTCCCTCCAAGGACTGCCCCTTCCCAGGCAGGGAAGGCGATACAGGCCTGTAGCCCCCACTCCCCACAAACACTGTGGGGTTATATATAGCTTGCCGCTGCCTCTCCTCATTGGGTAATGGAGATAATTAACATGCGCGGGCTAATTAGCCAATCAAATTAAATGCAGCACCTGCTCCCAGCCTGATTGACGCCCTCACCCCCCCACACACATATGCACCCCCACCTCAGCCCAGGGCAGGGGAGGGGGTCCTTGAGGCTCAGAGGACAGGAAATACTCCCCCTTTTCTCCAGAAGGGGCAGAGGCCTAGCCCCAGTGACCAGAACACTGGCCATCCCACTACCTCCTCGTTTCGGGTCTCAGTCAGTCTTGCCTGGCCTAGCCTCTGTCTGCCTCCCTCCTGGCCCCCACCTCTACCTCCGGACACTATTTTGGGGAGGGAATTAATTAGCTATTGATTTCCACTAGCAGAGGGAATGGGATTGTGTGCTGCTGTCCACCCCCCAGCCCCCCCCCAGCCCAGGGAGGAGGTGATCCCTTCAAAGCCCTGCCCTTCCCCCCACCACAGGCCCCTGTCACACTCACAGTCCCTATCCTCCAGGGAGATGGCAGTGGGGTCCTTGTGAAAAGGCCTAGGGTCAGGGTCTCCCTCCATTCTGGAAAACTGGAGGACAGATAGAGGGAGCCTCCCAAGGCTGGGCAGCAGACACCTGGGCTCTGAGCTGAGGTCTGGTCACCTAGTTGGGGGTGGGTGCAAAGTGGCTGAGAGTCCAGGAGGGGGCGAGTCCATGGCTGGGTGTGGTGGGAGAGTGGGGGTTGCCGCTGGCAGGCACGTGTTTGTGGGTAGCTGTGGGGGCAGAGGCTGGGCTTATGTGGTACATCCCGGGAGGGACAAGGGCAGGGGCTGGGCTGCGGCCCCTCGGGCTCATTACTCATTCTCCCCACAGCCCACAGCTCTGCAGCACAGGCAGGCCTGGCTCTGTGCCGGGGGCACAGGGGCTGCAGGGCCAACCAGGAGGAAGCCCAGCTCTCCCCAAGTCCTCTCTCCAGGGACCCAAAGGCCCTTGAGGAAGCTTCAGGGGCAGCTTCAGGTTTTCGAAGCAGAGAAAACCCCAAGGGGAGCATGAGCTAAGTGGACACCTGGGTCCTTCCCACCCCACCCCACCCTGCAGTGCACAGGACACCTGCTGCTTTCTGCTGCTCCCCCAGCCTCCCCCACACAGGACCAGGTTTCTGCCGACCCCACCTCCAGCTCACAGGGTCCTGGAGGAACTAGGAGGCACCTGCTCAGCCCCTGCTCCTGGGCTCCCCAGCCTCAGCAGTAGCCTTACTTCCAGGGACCTGCTCCCCATGGGCCAGGGCCATTGCCTTGCACAACTACATCAGGTAAACTGTGTCCCCAGGAGTTGTGCAAGGCAAGGCCTCTCTCGCAGGCTTTGAAATGGAGGCTGTCAACACCCATCAAACACTGGTCCCCAAGACCCACACTTCTCGAGTGCCCACTACCAGTGCAAGGACACTGGCAGGGTGGGCCCCTGCTCATAGATGACAGTATGGTTGTTTTTGCTGCCAGCCCCCACTCTCCCTGGTCACTGCTCCTCAGGGGACTGACCTCTCCCATGGAATCCCAAGATTCTGCACCCAGTCAGCACCCAGCACCCCCTACTTTCAGATATCCTCAGCAGCCATGGGCAAAAGGTGATGGCCCAGGAGGGGCTGGGAGGGCTGACCTTGGGCCTCTGAATACCTCCCCTCATGGCCCTCTCCCGCCATCTCATGGCCTTGTCCTCAGTGCCACTGTGGCATTGGGCTGCAACTTTGGGGCTCCCCAGGCTGGACACTCACTGCCACCATCTTATTTTCCCCCGGGTTTTAAGAAGCAGTTTTGTCACCTTGTCCCACTGAGCTCAGAAGGATGAAATTCACTGGCCCAATAGATCAAGGGTCTGCTGGCTCCTGAGTCCATGGCTGTTCTGCTCTGCACCGCCCATAGCTGTAGAGCACTGAGACTCAAAGACCACCCACTCCTGGTCTGGCCTCCACAGGGGACACTGCCCTCAGAGGCACCCCAGACTCCAAGCCCAACCCCAGGACTGAAGACAGAGGCCTCGAGCCACTGGGGTTCACTCCTCTCGTTTTTTTCCTGAGGCAGAAACTGAATCCCAGAGAGGAACAGAAACTGACCAGGGATCACACAGAAAAGCAAGACCCAAGGTCATTAGCCTTGCCTTCTGGAAACTCCCCCTGTATCAGCTGATCAGACCTCGGCCCTCCTGCCTGACCAGTGCAAAATGGCAAATGAATGAGACTTCCGGAGTGAGCTGGTCCGAGCCCACTCGGGCAGAACCCTAGTGTGGGCCCTTTCCAAGCATCCATTCAGCCCCCTTCAGGCCTGGTCCACAGCACACACGCACACAAGCACGCACACCTCCCACCATGGGAATGCTAGCCCCCCTCTGGCTCCCCTCTCCTCACGCCAACATCCTCTCATGCCAGTTGGGATTGAGACAGCAGGGGCCTCCCCCAGGCGCCAGGGGGGAAGAGCTGGGTTTACACACATTCTGGTGGCCCCAGAAGGCAGCCCGTGGACAGGTGGGAGAAGTGCGTGTTATGGGGGGAGTAGATTTTGGCTCAAGCTAAAGAGAAACTTGCTGGTGATCCAAAGTTGTGTGCAACGGTGGAGTAGGCTGCCTCCGGAGGGCGAGCTCCTCCTGCGGAGGTGTGGGAGATGACTACTGCCAGCACGCTCAGGAGGGGGCTCTTGAATCACAGGGTGGGGGCATCAGACTGCTTCAACCCTAAGGACCCTCAGGTTAGCATGTTTTTTAGAAGGTGCCCTCTCCCTCCTGAAACAGCAGGCAAGACGGACACAGAGTCCCTATTCCCCTTCCTGCTCCTTCCTTCCAGTTCTGATAGTCTAGGAGAGACAAGGGAAGACCTGGGCATGCCCACACCCAGCCACAGCCTCGGCATGGAGAAGAACAAGCTAGCACGCTAGTCAGAGGCATGGGCTGTGGAGCCTGGTTGCCAATGCCAACTCTCTCTTTCTCTAGCTGTGTGATCTTTAGCGAGTTACTTAGCTTTTCTGTGCTTCCGTTTCTTTACATGTAAAACAGGGGTGGTAATAGTGTTGGCAGAATTAGAATTAATATGTGTAAAGCACTTAGAACAGCACCTCACAGAGACTGAAGCGTGAGGGTGTGTTATGTTAATGATTACTTCTAAAACTCTTCATCTCAGCCTTTTACAATTTACAAAACTACACATCTAATGTTTCCTTTGATTCTCACCAGAACCTGATGGGGGTGTAAGCTAGGCAGGTATTATCACTGCCCCCTTTTCCACAGCTCATAAGCGGCAGGGTTGGGACTCAGGTTTGGTTCTATCCAACCTCTGGGCCCCTAGGCTCTTTTCTACTCTGCCGGGAACCTCAACCTGCCTGGGAAGGAAGAAGAAGGGATGAAGAGGCGGGTAGACAAGAGGGAGACGGACACCAGTAGGGGCCGAGAGTGAGCAGATGTTTTTGCAAGGTCCACTGAGCAGGTCTCTGTGTGCTTGGGGGGAGTAGAAAGGGTCTGGGGATAAGGGTGGCAGTTCAAAGTGTACAGAGGAGGCTCTGCCAAGAGAGCGGGGCTGGAGAAAGGGTGGGCAGGGGATGGAGGTGCAGAGGAATGACTTGGCAGAGTGGGCGATAGAGCCTCGGGGCTTAGCAGATTCCGTATCAGATGAAATAAAGTTCAC